CTTTACCACACTCCTCATGGCGTTCCCAATACGGCTCATATCTAAAGCTCCAGCCCCATGTAATCTCTTCCTCCTCTAAATCAAGTTTCATTTGGATAGGTATATGGTCCGATCCGCATCGTTCCAAATGATATAATCGCATATTGGGAAATAGCCGCAGCCATTCTGCATTCCCTACCGCTCTGTCAAGTCTTTCTTCTGTGTAATTTTCATCTTCTTTGTTGTTCTCCCACGTGAAACTCCGCCCATAAAAACCACAATCTTCAAGCCTACAGCTTTCCAAACAATCTCTAAACATCTCCATCTCACCTTCATTTGGGTCATGTTTGCTACTCTTCTCCGAGTAATCCAGTAGGAGATTAAAATCGCCCATTACAAGCCATGGCATCTCTACCTGTCGGCACAATCGCTGAATTAGCTCACAAGTCTTGTATTTATTTTGCGTTTGTGGCCATCCATAAAGTCCAGTAAATCTCCATGCTGTCGGGTGATTTGGTATTCTGACTTGTGCATCAATAAAATGCCTATCACAGTCCTTAACTTCCATGTCCACCTCTTCTGTCCACATCAATAGAAGGCCCCCTGCCCTGTTTTCCGCCGCTGAAACACCTTTGCCACCATGAAATCCTAGTTCCTTAATCTTCTTTTTCCATTCCTCCTCATATAATCTGGTTTCCATTAGAAAAACCACAGCGGGATTAATTTGACGCAGAAGCGCCTTGAGTTTTTCAACTGCCGGGGTGTTCCCGAGTCCCCGACAGTTGTAGCTCAACAGACTCATTGAGCTCGGCGGCCCTGCTCAACAGCAGGGTCCGCCTCTTCGCCATCCATATAGGTTTTTGATCCTTCAACTGCAATTGGTGCTTCGCTGGGGAACTTTAATGTTCTAGCCTTCTTGCTTGTCATTTTGTCCTCCTCCATCGGGTGTGGAGCCTCTTCCCCCTCAACATGGTTCCTCTTTTGAGGGGTAACAGCCAGGTTCTCACCAGCCCTAGGCTTTGTTTGTTCCTGTCGTTTCCAGCTTTTCCCTCTCGGCCTACGAACTTCTTTCTCTGCCTTTTCCTCCATTAAGAGCCTCTCAAGCGCACCCGCTCCCATGCTATTTCCCAGCTTTCCTGGTTGGATTTGGTTCTGTGCATCTAACAATTCACTCTGCTTTTCATTCAGCAGGTCATGGCTCCAAGGACGTTGATGTGTATCTGTCTCTTCCATCCCTTCTGGACACGCCTGCAGGTGACAATCCTTCTGCCCTTTTGCCTTTTCCCTCTGATCACCCTCATAATCAACAGTCTGTGTCTTTGGTTCAGTTTCCATGCTGATGATTCCCACTTCTTTTTGTTGTCTCTCAATTTGATTTGAACCCGTGCTTTCTACCTCAAACTTCTGCCGCAATTGCCTCCATATGTCAACTTCCGCTCTCCTTGTCCCTGTATTGAGCCAGCTGCGTGGGGCCGGTGCCGCTGCTCTGAGGTCAAAACCAAAGGGATCCACTTGTAGCTGTGTTGGCTGCGGGCATCTAGTCTTGATATGGCCAATACGCCCACACGAATGGCAGAACAAAGGTAGTTTCTCATATTTTACTTGGTATTCCACTAGACGTCCACCTATGTTCAGCTTGACCTTTTTCTTTAACGGGTTGTTTATGGACATATGCACCCTCAGCCTCATAAACTCATCCCACATCTTTTCTGCACTGTCATCAAAGTGGACTAACTCCCCAAATCGCTTAGCAATCTTTTCCGCCATTGATTGAGTGCGGAGCTCTGCTGGAAAATCCCTAAGCTGTATCCATATGTCAATTTCGTGCAGATCTGCGGGCGTTGGCTTTTTGATCATCCAACTTGCTTTGAAGATCATAATGCTGCTTTCATAATGCCAAGGTCCTCCATAACAGACCTTGTTACGGTCGTCAAAGTCTAAGAACTGGAATGCGAACAGATTGTTCTGCAAATCCGTTATCTGGTAAGTTTTCTTCAAACCCCAAGCTTTTGTCAACGCAATTTTCATCGATTTAATATTCGGCTTCTTTTCTGACACCAGGCGGCCAATCAGCCCTAGATGCCTCACTGCTTCCATCCTTACCACGTCAACGTCAGCATCTTCAACTTCCAGCGGTTCATCATCATCTTCCTCTAGGGTTATCTTGTTTAGCTGTTCCTCAATCGGTTCAGCCCGTTTGAGGTTGTCTTGTGTAGAATCTTCCACCATCGGGATTCCATCACTGTCATTGATTGACTCCATATCGCAGCTTTGTACCTTGATTCTACGCGCACAGGAACCTTTGCTCCCACGTCACGGTTGTTTCACGTACCTTAAAATCGAATAAGAGCTTCACTTTCTTAGCAAATCCCACCGAGCAGCAGCTGCAGGGTGCTCAAAACTTTATAGTTGGCTCGTGTTAGGCTAATCTTCAGGCGAGGACTGGCCGTAGGGTCACAATATACCTTCTCCTTCTCGGATACCTCTAGGGTTTCCGCCGCTCTCAAAAAACCCTCGCTAAACGAGAGAAAATTTTTATTACTAAATGACATCTTATTCTCGCATCAATCCATTATTGCACGTGTGTTGTGTGGGCAGCAGCCCACTATTACTATATATCAATCAACTAAATGACATCTTACTATATACAACTATTGTACATGACAATCGGATTAGGCTCAAATTTTATGTATAAAAAAGAAATGATGAACGAGAGTGCCACACTCAATCATGGAAGGGGGATCATACAAGGTTAGCGTCATAGCATAAATGCAAAAAACATCATAGTAATTAAATATTTGCATGCATTATAAACGGGGAACAAGTAGTGGAAACCAAAGTAGTCATAACAAAATACAGAAAAAGCAAAGGGAGATGTTTTTTTTATGTAACCAAGTCTTTCTTTTTATAGTTTTTTTTTTTTTTTTTGGGTATTTTCCCGTTCTCTTAAATTTTTCTATTCTTTGTTGGCCTGGAAAACTAGGTTTGTTGAATTCGGAAGAAAAAGAAAATTAGTGAGAATCGTTAGTTTTTTTTTTTTTTTTACAAAGAAAGACATTCATTCATAATTCAAATGTGGTACAAGCTCGGCCTATTACAACATGGGGACACAATATACAAGACCTGAATCCATTCGTTGAGAAGAGTTCCTTTGCATGTCTCTTTTACAACTCAATCAGCCCTTTTGTCAACCTTAATCCGGTCATTATGTATAAGATTTTGGCTCATACAGTGGATCCAAGCCATAACTTGCCATGGCCCTCTCGTATTTGCTGGGGGAAAAGAGTCAACAATCGTTTTATAATCCGAGAGCATCAATGTTGAATGCTGCAAATCTAATCGCTGATAAAAAAATACACTAGATGATATCAACTTTCATAGACTAAGACCTCGTGAACTATCAAAGATAATATATGTATCTTTCATTGAAAATTTTAAGACTTTATAATTTTGTTTGGCCAAACAAACTACAATTATTTATAAGGAAAATAGACTATTAATATTCCTAGTACATTAGAAAGAAAACTAGCAAAAACTATAAGTTAGATGCTGCTAGAGCATCTTTTAAAGAGCACTTAAATGAATCAAATTCTTACACATGAATCATAATCCCAAGTGAAATAATTGAGTTAGGTGCGTAGGCATATGTACCATTTAACTAACTAGCTCTACTTGTATGTATAAAGAAGGTAGGGGTGGGCAACGGGCGGGTTGGGTGGATTTTGATTTCAAATTGACTCACTCGCTTACTAGCGGGTTGGAATAATTGTGACCCGTAATCTATCCACATACTGCCGCGGGTTGGGTTGGGTGAGTGGCGGATGGGTGCGGTTGGGTCGCAAGTCAACCCGCAAAACCAATTCTCCAACTAGCCATTAAGAAAGTTGACTAACGTTTATAATAAGTTCATAGCAAATTAGTTAAACTCTATCAATAATTTATGATTTTGATACAATTAATAATTTATAGTTTGCCTCCCAATATTTAATGATTATTAACAATAATCTGCATACCAATATCCAATATCTTATGGATATTACACAACACAATGACCAATAATAGTAGTCAAAACTATTATTTATTCTCCACCTTTTGAAGTATATGATCAGACTGTAGTGCAGTTAGAAAATATGAGTCAATACTATAAGAAACAACGTTTTTTCAGGTAAAAAAAAGATGCGGGTCATATGGGTCACCCGCATCATTTTTATAGTATATGATCATATTGTAGTGCAGTTCGAAAATATGAGTCAATACTATAAGAAACAACGTTTTTTCAGGTAAAAAAATGATGCTGGTCATATGGGTCGCCCGCAATCCACCCACCACCCACCCACATAAGTGTGGGTGGGAGATTTATCAATCCGCAATTCACTTACATCAATCACCCACTGCATGCGGATCGGATTATTTGCTGGTGGATCAATATCAATCGCGGATTAACCACCCACATGGACACCCTAAAAGAAGGTGTCATAAAGTTAAATTGATCATGGGAGCTAGATATGGATCTCAAAATTATGAATATTCCCACAAATGGAATATATAAATGTATATATTATGCACATTCACATATAACAAAATTCATTTTAATCAAAACGATTTTTCAATGGAGAAAAAGAATATAAGAAGGGCATAGAAATTTTGCTGTTTTTGTTGTTGTTGTTGTGTACATAGGCAAGTGAAAGAAAAAGAGAATGGAGGGAATAATTCTACAATGAGTAAATGTACTGATTACTTGAAACTCCCTTCACATGAAGGATGCACTTATAACCCAAAGTGTGACCTTCCTCATAGTTTTATCATCAAATGCATCAATACATTTTTTTTATGAACGGTAAGTTGATGTGAGAGGTGAAACAATCATCCATTTACGTATTTTTTTTCTCTTAGATCTCTGAATTGAAATTCAGTTTATTCATCTCCGGATCATATGTTGATGTAAAAAGTGAAACAACCATATATTCATGCCAAAAGTATTTTGTCCTCGTCGGACCTCTGAATTGAAAATTTAAAAATTAACGGATTTATGTTCAGTTGTTCACTCATTTCCCAACGACATTTTGCTTCATATGAAAATACCCAACTGTAATTATCGTCCAAGATTCATCTTAAGGAAAGAAATCTGAAAAGTGAAAACTTTTCCAAAAAAAAAGAAAACAAAGAAATCTGCAAAAGCCTGATATGGGTTCTCACCATTTTGGCGGTTTCCATGTCATCCCCCACAATAAGTTCCACACTTATCACCAGCTCTTCCTTCCATCAATTGGCTTCTTGTCCAAAAGCCAAAATTCCCTCCTTTTGCACCAAACCAGCTGCTTCACGAAACCAATGCCCACATTTCTAATCTTTTTACCATTTCTGAACCACGATTAATCCCTCCACTAACTAATACATTCATAAAGAAAAGATTTATATATTTGGAGCTATACACCCAACGTATCCACCTTCTGATCCATAATGTGTTCTGCAACAAATTCTGAAGAGAACCCAGTTCCCAGAACCTCTCCACCTTCTTCTGCAACTCCAATTCCCAGCTCAATATGGCCAGCAGACCTTGTGGGCAGCGTTATTTGGGAGCTGAAGACACAAAGGCCAATAGTTCTCCCTTTACTAGCCATGAACCTGACTTGGTTTGCCAAAACAGCCATCACAACAGCATTCCTCGGCAGGCTTGGAGAGCTTCAGCTAGCAGGCGGGGCACTCGGCCTAACATTTGGCAACGTCACGGGCTTCTCAGTCCTAAACGGTCTCTGTGGTGCCATGGAGCCTATCTGTGGCCAGGCCAATGGTGCCAGGAATTTCAAGCTTCTTCAGAAGACACTAATCATGGCAATCCTCTTGTTGTTGGTAACCACAATCCCCATAGCTTTCTTGTGGCTTAACGTCGACAAGATCCTCATCCATTTTGGGCAACAGGAAGACATCTCCGTAGTCGCCAAACATTATCTGTTCTATCTTCTCCCTGACTTGTTGATCATCTCTTTCCTCTGTCCTCTCAAGGCCTACTTGAACTCGCAATGCGTCACTATCCCCATCATGCTCACCTCGGGTTTAGCCCTCGCGTTCCACATTCCAATCAACATCTTGCTCTCCAGGACCATGGGAATGAAAGGAGTCTCCATGGCAACTTGGATAACTGATCTTCTAGTTGTGACCTTGCTCGGGTTATACGTGTGGGTGAGTGGGAACAGAAAGGGAGTAAAGTGGAAGGAAGGGGGTTGGCTTGATCAGGATCTCGACGACTGGCTCAGGCTGCTGAAGCTAAGCGGACCATGCTGCCTCAGCACCTGCCTGGAATGGTGGTGCTGGGAGATTCTTGTGCTGCTTACAGGCCACCTGCCAAATGCGAAACAGACAGTAGGCGTGTTGGTCATCGTCATGAACTTCGATTACTTGCTCTTCTCAGTGATGCTATCTGTAGCAACTTGTGCTTCATGTCGGGTCTCAAATGAGCTTGGAGCAGAGCGGCCCACAGTTGCTTCGAGATCGGCATTTGTGTCGATGGGTTTAGGCGTGGTTCTTGGGCTGGTTGGGAGCTCATTGATGGTGGCGGCTCGAGGGAAGTGGGGTGCTTTGTTCAGTAGTGATGTAGAGATCATAAGAGGTGTGAAGAAGGCCATGTTGTTTATGGCTGTTCTAGAGATTGTGAATTTCCCTTTGGCTGCTTGTGGGGGCATTGTGAGAGGAACAGCTAGGCCTTGGTTGGCGTTGTATGCAAATGTTGGTGGGTTCTATCTTGTGGCTCTGCCTCTTGGAGTGCTTTTGGCGTTTAAAGCGGGGTTTGGACTAAGTGGGTTGTTGCTAGGATTCTTGGCTGGATTGACCGCCTGTTTGATGTTGTTGCTGATCTTCATTGGTAGGCTTGATTGGGAAACTGAAGCTGTGAAGGCACAAAAGCTTGCCTGCCAGTTGAGTGACACTGGGGAAGGAGATGATCACCAGATGAGAGATCAGACAGTTCAAGTATGAGAGAGTATAGATTAGTTTAGACTCTTTCAATCACTAGAAATGCTATCATGAAAGTGAAATCCAGTGTTTATTAGGATCTTACAACATTCATGCGATAATGAAAGGAAAATTGACATCATGCTTTAACTTATATCTTCTTGATGAGCAAGAATTGAATGATGTTTATGAATTCAATCATGAGAAAGAAGTAATGATACATGAGCTGTTCCATTCCTGATTATGAAGAGTACAACAACGACAGGATGATAGATTTTGCTGTCAACCCTCTAAAAACCCAGGTCCAGCGCTTTTAGAATCCAGCTCTTTCGCTTTCTCGTCATTAAAACCCAGTGTAGCCAAGATCTTGTGGCCCGGGGAATCAGTTTCTGACCAAATGCCGAGTAGCACATCACTCGTAGTTATTTCCCCACTGACGCCTGAAAATTCAAAGCCCATTACACAGTTAGCATGCTACTTCTGCTCACTCTCCGGATAACTGGAAATATCCTCATAGCAGACTGAATTCTTAAAATGAAAGTGCTGATACGGTTTCCCTGGAAATTCTTAACGGAGAACAATCATTTATAACAAGCACAGCTCAAAAGGAATACACTATATAAGCAGAATTCAAATGGAACAGTAACCTCAAACGCAAAGGGCATTGCAAAATCTTTTTCTAAATGCAATATAGCCTCATCTCTTAAATCATTACAAGATAATACCAACGAAAAGCTCATCCAAAGGACAAGCTCCTGCTCTGGCTTCCCTACACTAACTGCTATCTTTTATAAGAAAAAAGTATTGTCAACATAAAATCCTATATTACATGTCATAGAAAGAGGCGAATGGAACTTAAAACTTATGGTTGACTGGTAGTGTAAAGCAACACCACTGACTGAAAATGACATTTCGCATCTATTGCCTTCTTGAGAATCAGCAATTGGTAACTAACAAAGTCATGTTGCGCAAGCGATATCTGCTGAGCATCATATACAAGACTCATCCATGTACTAGTAAGGAATGCTAGGAACCAACCATCATTCTGTGAGGCAATCTTCTGCAAATCTAAAGATATTTTAGAAAAGCAGTTTTCTGCCATGTCAAGATCGCATTCATAACACTCTTTTGACTTCTTACAGAAGCAAGTTATACTCGCATGACAGCCTACCAAGAGAAAACCAAGACACAATAGAGAACAAAATCAAAATCAACATAACATACCAGATTTTATTTTATTATCCACGGCCCAGTCAAGTGCCCTTTGAGCATCTTCAGTCACTGGAGGTTGCTCAGGAGGAAAGTAATAAAAGTCGGGCTTCCCGCGTACCCTGGTGATCTCATCACGCACTTTGAAGAGCGTAATACCATTTTCCCACAAATACTTCGCAGCAACACCAGTTCCTATACTCCAAACAATAAAAGATGAGCATTTTCACAGCAAGCAACAGCTCCTGCCAGATTCAGCACACTATACTCCGCCATTAAGCAGCACATTGCAATGAGTTATGCATCAAGACAATCATCAAAGTGAATTAGGATGAAACATTTTCTTACAGCTGACAACAAAGAACATAACTTTCTATCCTATTCGGGCCGTTGGCAGTCAAATTAAACCAAGAGTCAAGACCTGTGTTTGAATGAGGTACCTTCAATCATGATACCCATTAAAAGAGCCTCAGTCCCAGTTTTGGGGCATTTCAGCTTCCTTGCCTCCAATGCAGCCAAAGCAAATGCCTTTATCGCCCTCCATGACCACCTATAAGAGACCCACATCAAAACCAACTGAAAGAAACAAAAATTGAACATAGAAACGGAAACCCCCTAGAAAAAGCAATCACTCACTTGGGAGCTTTATCGCCCGATGCAAAGTTCTCTGGCTTCCTGCAAAATCCTGAAATCCGGAGTTAGCCTGCTGAAATGAAGACAATAGAAAGAGATAAAGATGACGAGAGGATGCGGAGAAGTTACGCAGTTGGGAGACTGGAAACGGTGGCCGAAATGGGTTGGAGAGAAGAGCCGCGGCGGGTTCTGGAGCTTGAGGATTGCAGAGAGAGCTCGGCGATTGGTTGAAAGTTGCCAAGCCATGAAGGGTTCCGTAGGATGTAGGGTTTAAGAGACTGAGATTGGAGCTTGGGTTTATGGAGATTGGATTGGTGGACGGATTGAAGATTGGTGGTTAGAGATTGAGCTGCCATGTCTTTTCCACCGAACCAGAAGCAGCCGGTGAGAAAAGGGAAATGAAAATTCTTCGTTCGATGCGGGGAACTCCAGAATCCCGATAGGGGGAAGAGTGCGGAAACGGGTCCTCGGGTTGGACCTCCTTTTTTTGGGCTTATTTTTTGAATTCCAGGGGAACAGGCCCATTCAGTCCTCTCAGATTACTTCCTTAATGCATTATCGGGCCTGCTTTTTGAGGGCCTGCTTATGTTAATTCAGTTTGAACAAACTTGGGCCTTGAATGCCCACCAATTCACCAGAAATAAACGGCTGATGATTTGATGAGAGGGCATCGCTTAGGCTGGCTCCAACCCAAGGAGCTAAAATGCTAAAAAGCCAAATTTGGCTCTTTTTCAAGCTCCAACCCACAAAAAAATGGGAAGCAAAAAATGGGTATTGGGATTTTGGAAGGGAAATTTGGCTGGGTTTTGGGGTGGGGAGTGATATTTGGCTGCCAAAAAGTGGGTTTGTTTGTCAGATGCGGAGAAGGGCGCCGGACGCGCGCCTGGGGCGCACGCGCGCGGGGGAAGGTCTTCCTCCGCGCGCGTGCGCCCCAGGCGCGCGTCCGGCGCCCTTCTCCGCAGCTGACGTGCTGTTACTTTTTTTTTTCTTTCTTTTAACTTTTGGGGTGTGCCTACGGTGACATGCATGTCATGGTGACTTGCACTTTCCGGTCGACCTCAGTTAGGATTAGGTCGACCTCAGTTAGAATTCGGTCGACCTCATATAGGATCCGGTCGACCTAATATGTTGTTTCAGTGTAAAAACAGTTCATGGTGCCTACTTTGGATATTCATATCATACAATTAGCTAGATGGAAATTAAAGACTAATGACTTGTTTTGAAGCTGGAGTGTCCCTCTACATTTTGAAGTGATTGAGAGCTCGATAGGAAGTTCAGAAGACCATTTTTGAACCTCATCAAAAGGCTATGCCAAAACTGGGAAACTGCCTAGAAATGGCTAAGTCTGGAAACGTGTTTGTGAAGCCTATTTTTGAGCTCAATTCGAGAAGCATGAATGCGAGTCGAGTCCACGAGCCTCTACCACGTTAAATTAGGTATGTTTTTATACAAATTCAAGGAATTGGATGAAAGATTGGATATCTTTAAGACTTCAAACAAAAGGGCCGAAGTTGCTACGAAGGCTGTTTTCTGGCAGACTTCGAGCACAAGCAAGCTGCCAGAAAAACAGCCTTCGTAGCAACTTCGAGCCGTTTGTTTGGAGCCTTAAAGATATTCAATCTTTCATTCAATGCCTTGCCTTTGTATAAAAAATTACGTAATTTAACGTGGTAGAGGCCCCTTGACTTGACTCGCATCCATGCTTCTCAAATTGAGCTCCAAAGTAGGCTTGACAAACACGTTGCCAGACTTAGCCATTTTCAGGCAGTTTCCCAGTTTTGGCATAGCCTTTTGGTCAGGTTCAAAAATGGTCTTCTGGACTTTCTATTGAGCTCCCAAGTACTTTAATGTGTAGAGGGACACTTCAGCTTCAAAACAAGCCTTTAATCTCCAATTTCCATCTAGCCAATTGTAAGATATGAATCTCCAAAGTAGGCACCATGAAACTGTTTTTACACTGAAACAACTGATTAGGTCGACCGGATCCTATATGAGGTCGACCGAAAAGTGCATGTCACCGTGACATGCATGTCACCGTAGCAAAGTCCTAACTTTTGTAGTGAGGGAATTTGTTTTGCCAATTTGTTTTGGATTTTTTTTCTCTATTCTCATTGGTTGTTTGTGATTCAATTTGAAATAATTGATGTAGTGACGAAAAAACAATCATATTTTAACGGCCATAAAAAACGGTCATATTTTAACGACTAATTTTTGAAAAAAAATTATCTCGGAATTTAAAAAAAATTACATCAAAACATTTGTATTCAAAACTAATAACGAGTTATGAAAAAATTAAAGTGAAATATAAAAATTAGAGGTCAAATAAGTATGGTTTATTGAAATAAATTGAAAATGGAAATGGGAAGCTAAATTTAGCTTTTTATAGGGTTGGAGTGAAAAGTGGGTTTGGGGAGCTAAAAAGCCATATTTGGCCATTTGGGGAGCTAAATTCCCCTTTATGGGTTGGAGTTAGTCTTAGTGACTTGTAGTAGTGCAACCATAGTCGTACACTCGTACTCATTATTTTCGGAGTTGTAACCTTTGTTGTTGTTGTTTTTTTTTTTTCTGTAGTATTTAGAGTATAGGGTCAGCACAGTATTCGTTCTTGTGATTAGACTGTTTCCCAATGTGGATAAGAATAGCTAGTAGTATCTTTCTTTTTATAACCAGTTAGGTAGGGCAAATGTGGACCATCGGTTAAACGCAATCAAGATTTGAATTCAATATATTCAACTAAAAAAATTGATTGTTTTACCAATCGATCGACACTCATAGATTTTCAACTCAAATATCGTTTAATTGTTTGCTTTACAACTCGATGGACACTCCTAGCTCGCTAGATTTATAGATAAAAAAAATTACTAGCTTATCAGTCATTTATGCTAGAACTAACCTAATTAAGTAGTTTCAAACTACAAAACAAAGTGAAATAATCCACTCAACAGCCAAAACATTTAGGCATATTTTCTACTTCTAACTACCCATACAAAAGCAGCCTAATGGTAATTTGTGAATCATAAAGAGTTTACACAAGTTCTATCCATACTTTCACCATCATTCAAAACACCAATTCCCGTCACCCAACCAATGAGTTCCTAAACACTTCAAATTTAGTAAATACCAACGATAGAAAAACCATACCGTATCGGTAGTTTGAACATAAAAATTTCTTACCGGAGGCTAGATCGATATGTGGTATTTAGCGGCATGAAAAGTTTAACCATGATCAAACCATAATTTCAGTATAAAATATCTTACTGCTGACTTTTCCGATATAACCTCCGGTACGTTATGTCAATGCTTGTTAAATAATAAAGTTGTTCAATTAAAATGTCAGAGTCTTAAAAATTTAGTGGGTAGAGAGAAAATGATTTTACCTCTAAGTACGGACTGCACAAAATCGTCGCCATCGATCATTTTCACTCTAAGTTGCTAAAACGTTTCGTTTCTATGGTTGTGCTGCAGTTCAATTTGCTCGTCCCATTTCTGTCCATTTTCGCACGACAGTGGCAAGGCACCTCAACTGGAAACGTGTCTGGCCAAGTAGCTATAATAGGGATATTTGATGAGCCCTCCATAAAAACCCAATTCGTAGTAAACATCATATGGGCCATAATAATGATCGACAGCCATTGTTTTCAAGCATATATATATATGCATTGGTGGCACATGGAAAGAATGAATGAAGGAATGGCATGTGTGTTGTGTCAGGTGTGGGTGGACTGGAGTCACGCCACCATCACGAGATGTGCCAGCCCTCTCCATGTGTTTTTTTTTTTTTTACCTTCCTTCTTCCATGCACAAGTGAAAGTATATACACCAATCAATATCATAGTCGTAGTCGTAGTCGTAGTCGTTCTCGTCCTCATCTTCCCTTTTCATATGTAGGAAGTGAGTAGGACAGCCATGGTCGCACTTCTCTTTCGCATTTCCGATATAAATTTACGTCCAGTTAACTTGATAGGGCACCCACCCAGCCCAAGATCTCACTCACTCACGAGATCATGTCATGCATGATTCGTTCATCTTTTTGTTAGGTCTCCAAAATAGACTACATTGTGGTATATCATAGCACAAAGTAAACTGTTACCACGATCGATTGAATTTGAGAGTGATTTGAGTGAAATTGACATTGATTCTGGGACAGAAAAACACGAGAGACACGAGAGAGTTATTGTTTCAGAGGTTGCGAGAGTGAAAACAAGAGTGAGAGCAGCAGCTTTGCGCAGGTCTGTCTTCCAAAGTTTGATGGAGACTATGTCCATTGGAGGCTGCTGATGGAGAACCTGCTGAGATCCAAGGAGTACTGGCCTGTTGTAAGTGATGGTTTCAAGGAACCTGTTGCAGGAGAAGAGTTGTCAGGAGTGCAGAAGAAGGAGCTGCAAGACAATCGTTTGTGTTCCAAGGAGTACCTAGCATTTGTGTTGCAACTTTATTTATGGATTATGTTAAAACTTAAGGAAACAACAGACATAATTGAATTCAAACCGGACCAAAAATATTTTTAACCTGCTCAAAGTCTTTCTTTGTTTGTGCGATTCCCCAATTCTCGTACAAAGCCTGCGACGCCGATTTACATGTCTGCGCTTGCGCTGAGGGCAGCTCCCCTGAGCGCCGGCTACCCTGATATCAATGCCGGTATCCGGAGACCATCATCGGTTACGTCCTTGCCAAAGGCAAAGGGGGACAAGGAAACTCAACAGGCAAAAAAGTGATGAGCAAAACCGATGGAGGACAATCCGCTATTTGAGGCAGAAGCTATGACTTAATACACTCCTTCCCCAACCTCGGGGGGAGAAGGATCGCCAACGAAACAGCAGCCGAGTTCGGCGTGGAAACCTAGGGGTGCACATAAACTGTTCAATGACTTGCATGCTCAAGATGAATAGTACGTTACAAAGTCCGATTCTGAAGATATTGCAGCAGCAATGAGAGAAGATGATTTGGATGGCGAAATACCAGAAGATGATGATCCGAGGTGCCCTACGATACCTTTTACTGCGCTTGTGAAGCAGCGATGGAGGAGAGAGTGGCGTTCGGCCTTGATTGTGAATGTTTTAGATCGATCTTTTTCGTTTCCCGTGTTGGCAAAGCGGTTGGAAATTCTGTGGGCCAAAACTGGAAATATTCAAGTGTCAAGCATGACGTATGGATTCTACGTGATTCGATTCACTAACCAGATCGACTATGAACGAGCTGCGGTGGGCGGGCCATGGATGATCGGAGATTTTTACATAACAGTCAGACCTTGACGCCGGAACTTATTTAATCTGAAAATGGCAGAACTGGCGTCGACGATGGTTTGGGTGCGGCTGCCGGATCTACCAAGGGAATTCATTAATAGGGAAGCGGTGGAGCGCATTGCGTCCAGGATCGGAAAACCGGTTTGAGTTGATAGGGCAACACAGACGGGAGACAGAGGACGTTTTGCTCGGGTTAGTGTTGAAGTTGACCTAACAAAGCCACT